CCTACAGACAAGGAAACTGAGGCCCAGGGAAGGGAAGGGACTCCCCCGAGGTCACACCTGCATCCCCTGGCAGAGTTGGCATCTGGATCCTGGATGTCCAACTCCAGATATTCTCCTTTGAGGCCACCTGGTCCAGTCCTCTCATTGTACAGATGAGGGAACTGAGGCTCAGAGAAAGTGACTTGCCTAAGGTCACACAGCTAGTAGGTGTTGGCCTTCAGTGAGCATTCATAAAGCCCCCATTGTGTGCTAGGGACTAGAGATAAAAAGCAGGTAAGGAGCTTTGACTCTCTGAGCTATTCAGAAGTTACAAAATCATCTCTTTCCATGATACAAAGTATTCCCTGTCAGAGACCTGAGCATTTGCTAGCTAAGGGATAATTATCATGGCCAGTTCTTAACTCTGCAAAGAAAGCTGGCCGCAGAGCCCAGAAGACCTGGGTTCAAGTTGTACCACTGACCTGTCTTGGCTGTGCCCCCCTGGACAAGTCAGTGCCCCAGGCATCTGCAAGGCTATTAGTCGAGGGTGAAGTGCCAGCCTGCATTGGTAGAGAGAGTTCCCTAGACCAGTGAAATCCCAAGTCCTGTTCCTATCGTCATTCTTAGTATGGTTCCCTTTCCCCTCTCCAGTCCCTGGCCTCTCTGGAATCCAGAGCAGTCTTTGGGATGTGTCTGTCTTTTAGAACAGAGCATTGGCAAGATAGCCTTTGACCTGCTTTCCAGAATAGCAACTCAGAGTCCCAATGAGTGACCTTCTTGTCTCCTACATCTGATTTAAACAAACCCATTTGGCCCTTTTGATCATCCACCAACTTGCTGTGTGATGATGTACAAGTAACATCACCTCTCTGATGCCTTAAAATCCATTGTGTTTCCTCTTGGGTTGAATAGAGGTCATTAGATCTGCATTGCTGTCCTCCCCGGGCTGTGGCGAGGCTCCAAGGAACAGGACAGTTTGAGCCAGAGCTGGAATTGATATGGATGCTGATTCTTCACTGCTGGCCTGGTCTGGGACCCCAGTGGTCTTTCAGTTCCCCAGAACTGAACAAGCATTCCTAGTCCAAGCTGGGCAGTTCTGCTGCTCAGTTTTCCTCCTCCTCTCAGGAGGAGGAGGTCAGGGAAGGAGTCAGGAAATAAGGAGAGAGTCATGGGAAATTGGAACCTTTTTGTCCTCAGGCCCTGTCCTGCCCATGCGTTCCTGCTTCAGGTGCTGACCTAGGGGCAGAAAAGAGAGTGGCCTGGCCTCACAAACTTGGAGCTGAGCAACAACTCTTCTCGTCAGGCGACAGGGTGCCCCAAATCTGATGCTCATTCACCATGTGACTATAGGCAAGTGGCAGGTTTGAGATCTGGATGCTCACTTGCTGAGATAATATGGTGGGGATACCTCTGTGAGTGGTTTGGACCAGATGGCCCCTGAGCCATTTAGTTCAACTCTCATAGGCTGAAATCTGGAAGGGTCCCTAGAGATGGTCAGTAACTAGAGGCGGATGGTCAGAATGGGAGGGAGGCGTACTTTGGAAGAGTAGGCCATGCAAAGATCATTGGAAGGCCCTGGAGACATTTAGCTTGGAAAAGTCTTAGGGGAGACATGTCCATTGCCTTCAGTATATAAAGGACTGGCATGTGGAAGGGGCTCTGACTTGGTCTGCTTGGCCAGAGTGGACAAAACCAGCGCGAATTAGGGGAATGGGGGGGATAAAGCCAACTCCTCTAACAATATGGGCTGTCCAGGCATGGAGGGGGCTGCCTCAAGAGGCAGTGGCTCCCCTTATCATCAGAGGGCAGCCAGCAGGCTGGCAGACTGTCAATCAGTTAAGACTGGGTGGAGCCCAGTCAGGGAGGGACACTAGGAGGGCCTTTCCAACTTGGAGGTTCTTGGATTCTACTCTAACTTAATCCAATTACCTGTCCCTTCCCAGCCTCAGTTTCCTCATCTTCAAAATAGGATGATAACACTTGCACCATCTACCTTATAGGGTGGTTGTGAGGAAAGCACAAGGGGAGTTATTCTGAAGGCTCCTCCCCTTCACATACTTTCCCCGCCCCCATTGCACCCATCCTCTAGTCAACCCCACACCCTCCATCATAATCAAAGTCCTGCTTCTCTGGGACTTGAAGGTTCACACAGTGCTTTCCTTAAAACAACCTGATCAGGGTAGGTAACGCAAGGATTATTATCCCCATTTTACAGGTGAGGAAAGTACAGCTCAGACAAACTGACCTGCCCAAATTCACCTGGCTAGGAGGGCATCAGAGCCAGGCTTGAAGCCCTCGATGTCTCTGCCTCTGCTGCATTTCCTGCTGTCCCCGGACTTAAAGCCTTCTCTGCTTGCCTGGATCTCCCTAGCCTTATCTGGGTCACTCATTGGACACATCAGTCCCATATAGTAATGCTGCATCTGCCAGCCTCCTCGGGTGCAGCCATCCCATGCCACATCAGTGTTTTTTCAAGATAACAGAAGCTGATCCCTTGAAGTAACAAAATACGTTGGCTTTTTTTTTTTCTGTTGTTTTCACTATTCTGGATGGGGTTCTTTTAATGTGCTTTCCTGAAATCTGACCTAATGTCTAGTGAGGATCACTGAACCCTCCCAGCTCTGATGCCGTATGTGCTGAAGCCCCTCCTCGCTCATTCTCTGGCCTCCCCAGCTTCTCTTAGAGGTGCCCCCTTCCCTCCACTCACAGCTGCCACCTTGGACCAGGCTCTCATCACCTCTCACCTGGACTGTTGCAGTAGGTTTCTGGCTGGTCTCCTCAAGTCAAATCTCTCCTTGCTCTATTCCATCCCCCATACAGCTCCCAGAGCACAGCTCTGACCATGTTACCCCTTTCTCAGTAAATTCCAGTGACTCCCTATTGTCTCCAGGATCAAATTTAACTTCCAGTGGCATTCAAAGTGTTTCATAGTCTGGTCCCTTCTTACCTTTCCTGTCTCCTCACACGTGCATGCCTTCCACACTCTCTAAGGCCCAGCTCCCCTGGCCTCCTGGCTGTTCCTCACACATGTCCTTCCATCTCCCTTAGCCGTCTTCTGTGCCCAGGGTGTTCTGCCTCCCCTCCAGCCTGGAATCCCTTGTTCCTTCAAGACTCAGCTCAGGCCCCATTTTCTGTATGAAAACTGGGAGGGAGGGAAGAAGAGAGGAAGGGGGGGAGGGAGAGAAAGAAAAAGAGAGAGAGAGAGAGAGAGAATGAGAAATGGGCAGATCTCCCCTTCCCCCCATCTCAACCCCTGACATCATCCCCACATTTCCTCCTTTAATCTAATCTTTGATGAAGAGAGCTCCTCCTCCCCCTCCTTTTCCTCCTCCTTCTCACCAAGATCAACATCTTTTTGTGTACCTTGACCCCGTCCTTTCTTTTCTTCAGCAGGTTGGATGCCCTCTCTCTAATCTCGGTCTCTCCATCTACTGACTCTTTTCCTTCCACCTGCAAACATACCCATGCCTTCCCCATCTTCAAAAACCCTTTGTTAGATCCCACCATCCCCACTACCATTATTTAGCAGCTGATGCCTCAACCTCCTCCTCTCTCCTGATCTTCATTGTCTGCAGCATAACTTCTGAGCTCATCATTCATTAATACCCCTTTCTCCAGTTGACAGCGATTTCCTGACCACCCAACCTAACAGCCCCTTCTCAGTCCTCATCCTCCTTGGCTTCTTTGTTTCTTGGCAAAGATAGTGGGGTGGTTGGCCATGTTCTTCTCCAGCTCATTTTACAGATGAGGAAACTGAGGCAATCATAGTGAAGTTACTGTTAGCCACACCTCCTTCTGGATGCCCCCTGGAATTCCTCTGGTTGTCCCCTCTTCCTGGCAGTCACTCCTTCCTTACCTCTACCTCAGGGAGCCCCCTTCTTCCTTTAAGACACAACTCAGGCACCGTCTAGTACATGAAGCCTTTCCTGAGCCACCCCAACTGCTAATGCCTTCCCTACACACTGCCTTTTATTCATCTGTTTATCCTGTGTGTGAACACACACACACACACACACACACACACACACACACACACACACACACACACACACACACACACACACATTGGCTCCTTATTGCCAAGGATCAAATACAACTTTGTTTGCTTGGTATTTAAAGGCTTAACAGCCTGGGTCCTTCCTGCCTGTCCCATCTTCATCCACCTGCCTCCCCTCTACGCACTCTGCTTCATATGGCCTGATTGCCCTCCCTCCCTCCCCAGTGCTCCAGCTCAGTCTCCATGCCTCTGACCTGGCTGTTACCCATGTCGGGAATCTTCCCCTTCCTCATCTCCACCTCTTGGAATCCCTCGATTCCTTCCAGTTCCTGGGCCTCCTTCTACACATGAAGGCTTTTGTGTCACCTTAGCTGCTAGAGCGCCCCCTCCCCAAGCTGCTTGATCTATCCTGTGTACATTCTGAACGTGCTTAGATGCGTCTGTGTTTACTCTTCTCTCGGACTGGGAGAGTAGAGGTTGTTTCTGGATCTGACTGTATAACCCCAGTGGCTAGCACAGAGCCCGGCACACATGGTTCATGCTTAAGAAATGCCTGTTGATGGATGGATTGATTAAAACTCTTCATAAAACACCAAAAATAAGGATTGTGTACTCTGTCTCACAGGACAGGATGAGGAAAGCATGCTGTAAGCTACAAAATGCCACCTTGCTATAAGCTATTATTGTTGTTGTTGTTGTGTATTACTATGACTAGGTACTAAGGGTCATGCAACTTTCGTGGTTGCTGCCCTCACAAAGCCCCAAGTTTAGGAGAATAATATGATGCCTATAAAAAGAAATGGAAGGTAAGTTCATAGGCTAGGTCCAAAGATCATGCCATTCAATGAAGGCATTTGACTGTAAGCTCCTAGAGGACAGAGACTGTCTTTTGCCTCTTTGCTGTGCCCCACCCAATAGTATTTGTCCAGTTTTCTCAGACCAGTGTAAGAAGCTGGGGGCAGCTTCTGGTTGCTAAACTTCCAGCATCCGGTTCTCAGTTTCCCCCGCCTTCTGTTCTGGGCAGGTGTTCGCCATTGTTGTCTTTGGCTCTATCGTGAATGAGGGCTATCTGAATGACTCTAAGGAGAGTGAGAAATTCTGCATCTACAATCGGAACCGCAATGCCTGCAATTATGGAGTCACTGTGGGTGTTCTGGCCTTCCTCACCTGCATCCTCTACCTGGCCCTGGACGTCCACTTCCCTCAGATCAGCAGCGTCAAAGACCGGAAGAAAGCTGTGATCTCTGACATTGGTGTCTCAGGTGAGTTTCAGAAGGGCTGAGTGGGGCTGGACCCTTCTGAGCTTCCTCCCCCCCTCCACATCCCCCACAATCTTTAGCTGTATAGAGGAGGTGTTCATTGGGCCCCTCCAGCGAAAGGCCTGTGTAGACAGCCTTCGCCCTCTGGAGGCAAGGCAGGGAAACAGCCTTGGCCTGGGAGAGTAGAGACTTGGGGTCTAGCCCTTCTTTCTCTGAAATAAGCAAGTCATTTCTTATCCCCCAGCCTTACTTTCCTTCTCAGTCAGGTGTGGGGGTGGTGATAATCCTTGGGGCTGTCAGGAAGGTAGATATAATGCCATGAACATTTGTTAGTCATGATCTGTGTGAAGAGATTGGGCTGGGTGGTGGAAGCTTTCAGTTTAGTTGGGAGGAAGGAGACCTACAGCTAGACAACTAACCCACAATATTTCATGACCATTTCACAAGAGAAGGCACAAATAAATGATGTGGAAGATTGGAGAAGGTCGTTACTGAGGATCAAGGAAGGCTTCTTGGAGGTAGTAGCATTTGAGTGGGTCTTTAAATGATGAAATGAACTGTCATGTGGCATGGGGTAAGAGTGCTGTCCTGGGACCCAGGAGACCCAGATTTGGCTTCAAAATCCTTACGTCACTCATAGTTGTGGGTCTAGAGCTAGAAGGGACTTTAGAAACCATCACATCCTCATTTTACAGAAGGGGAAACTGAGGTCAAGCAACTTGCCTGTGGTCACCCAGCCAGAACTGGAATCCAGGTCACAGAGTCCCCGAATCTCAGAATGGAAAAGGACCATCTGATCCAAACTGTATCTAAACCAGAACTGCCGCTGTGACTATCCCCGGCAAGTGGCCAGTTGGCTTTTCAGGCATTGCCTTCCTCAAGTGGCAGCTTGAGTGCCTGCTGTTTGCCATACACTGGGCAAGGTGCTTGGGATGCAAACAAACCAATCAATGCCTACCCTCAAGGAGCTCACCTTCTTACATTCTTGTCTCGAAGCCCTACAATGAGGGGGATCCCATTCTCTCCAGAGGCAGCCCATTCCCCTTTGGAAGAGCTCTAGTTATTACATTTGCTTCTTGGCAAATACAACATATGGCTCCTGGATCTGCTGTCCAGAGCCAAGCAGACCAAACCTAATCCCTTTCCCATGTGACAGCTCTCCAACCATGATGCGGCCCCCCAGTTTCTTCTTCAGGCTAAACATCTCTGGTTCCTTCACCCAGTCCTCCGACAGCATGAACTCAAGGATCTCATCATCCTAGGCATCCTCCTCTGGACAATCTCCAGCATATTGGTGGCCTCTCTAGATGGGGGGCTATTTTGTCAGGAATGCTGGGATGCAACAGTCACTCCCCTAGGATTCCTATCATTTTTACTGTAGCAGCCACGTCTTCCTTGCTGGTAATCATCAGTTCAAGATGATCAGTTTCCCTAGTCGGTTCCTCTACCTTTTGAAAGATAAAATTCTTGTTAAAGCCTCCACCTTTGGCAGAGAGAGTTCTAGCAGATATCCAGATAAGTGAAGCAACCCACAAATACTCTATCACAACCGGTGCCGGGCTTCTGAGCAATTTCCCAAGATCTTCATCTATTTCCTCTTTTTGTCCAGAAGGTCTGTCATATATCTTGATAACAAAATTATTGATTCTGTTTCTGTCTCTACTGACCTTTCATCCAAACATTTTCCACCATGGTGGAACACCAGCAGTGTCCTTCCATATCCTATAGTGAATATATATGTGTATGTGTGTATATATATATATATGTATGTATATGTATATATTTGTTGTTGTTGTTATTCAGTCATTTTCAGTCATGTTCGACTCTTTGTGACCCCATTTAGGGTTTTCTTGGCAGAGATACTAGAGTGGTTTGCCATTTTCTTCTCTAGCTCATTTTACAGATGGGGAAACTGAGGCAAAAAGGGTTGTGATTTGCCCAGGGTCACACAGCTATTGGGTATCTGAGGCCAGATTTAAACTCAGGTCTTCCTGACTTCATACCTGGCATTCTATACACTGCCCTGAATACACACACAAGTATATGTATATGTATATGTATATGTATATGTATATGTATATGTATATGTAT